TGAATATTTTTTTTGTTTTTTTTTTTTCTTTTATTCATGGCTCATATGCGCATGCGTAACAAAATACAAATTCATATTCAAAACAAGACCACAGAGAGTTGGCCATAACGTTCGTTAATGCGTTTTCGTTGTCACGTAGTGTCCATCTTTGGTTTTGAGAAATATTCATTTCAATATTTTTTTTTTTTTTTTTTTGCAATATTTTGGGGAAGAAAAAGAAGAGATTTCAACATTTGGAAAAAATCGGAGTTTTTGTTATCCTTACAAAATTTTATTTATTTTATAATGTTTTTTAATGATCGACTTACCTGTAAAGAGAAGAAAATTAAAAATATAATTAGTGAATAAAAATTAAGGCATTCAAAACCAGTAAGGAAAGAAGTAAATTCGGACTGGGCCGACTATATGATACCCTTCACCACTTGGGGTATATTCTACATAGTCTCCTAACAGAGGTCGCGTCGCCTTTTCGAAGGAACATTGACATGAAATTGAACGAAAGATATATAAGATATATATAGAACATATCATTATACACTCAATTCAGTACGCTGTGCCAAATTTCATGCAAATCGAAAGATATATAGTGGCATTGGTATACCATTTACATTAAATCGGTCGAACATATACATGGGCGCTATATCTAAATTTGAACCGATTTTCAAAAAAATTTACACACATCATTCTAGTCTCAATTCAGTACGCTATGCCAAATTTCATGCAAATCGAAAGATATATAGGGGCATTGGTAAACCATTTACAATAAATCGGACGATAATATATATGGGAGTTATATCTAAATCTGAACCGATTTTCAGGAAACTTGACCCACATCATTCTAGACCTAATTTATTAGGCTATGCTAAATTTCGTGTATATCGAAAGATATATAGGGGCATTGGTACACCATTTACTAAAAATCGCACGAAAATATATATGGGAGCTATATCGAAATCTGGACCGATTTTCAGGATATTTGACACAAATCATTCTAGACTTCATTCAGTACGCTTTGCCAAATTTCGTGTGAATCGAAAGATACATAGGGGCATTGGTACACCATTTACATTAAATCGAACGAAAATATATATGGGAGCTATACCCAAATCTGAACCGATTTTTGAACCAATTTCAATAGGGTTCATCCTTGGACTAAATAAGTGACCTATGCAAAATTTCATCCAATTCGGATCATAAATACGACCTGTACTTTGTTTACAATTTAACATGGACAGACAGACGTACGGACATGCATAAATCGACTCAGAAAGTGATTCTATGCATATTCTCAAAAGGAACCATATGTCTATCTCGTTTCCTTTTGCCAGTTACAAACATATGCACAAAGACATAATATCCTGTACCACAGTGTGGTGAAGGGTATAAAAATCACGCCATTGGTGAAATTGTTTACTAGCATATGCTCGCAACTTCGTTAGGGAATGTAGGAAATATTGGAACATGTATTAACATATTGTTTTATATACACAGAAAACTGCATATGTCAGAAAAAAAACACTCCACACGTTAATACCGACCATAAATTAAATTTGAGTACCATTTAGTACAAAATTTCATGACTCGAGCTCTAAAGGTTCACCCAAATCTAAATTTTCCATTTAGCACACATTATTTAAATATGTACCCTCATCAACAATCTAACAGAACTTCCTGCTTGCCCGATCCTAAATCCAACTTTCAGGATTCCAAATCCATAGGTTCACCCACAATTCAAATTGTACCAAATTCAGTATTCAGTAGTACGAATTTCCAAAACCACCTTCTTAACCCAAGCCAACACCCCCACAGTGATCCTAAATCCTAGTTTCAGGATTCCAATTTTATCGGTTTACACACAATTTAAATTGTACCAAATTTTGTACACAGTAGTACAATTTCAAAACTTCCTACATATCCCAATCCTAAACCCCCACAGTGACCCTTAATCAAAATTTTAGGATTCCAACTCTATCGCTTCATCTACAACTTAGATTGTACCAAATTTGGTACACATTACTACAAATTTCCAAAACATCCTGCATACCCCAATCATACAACCCCACAGTGCTCCTAAATCCATGTTTAAGGATTGAAACTCTATCGGTACACCCACAATACAAATTGTACCAAATTTAGTACACAGTAGTAAGAATTTCCAAAACTTCCTACTTAACCCAAACCAATACCCCCACAGTGATCCTAAATCCAAATTTAAGGATTCTAACTCTATCGGATCACCCACAATTTAAATTGTACTAATTTTAACTAATTTTAATTTTAGAAATTTGTACATAGTAGTACAAATTTCTAAAATTTCCTACACACCCCAACCCTAAACCCCCACAATGATCGTGACTCCAAATTTCATGATTCTAGCTCTATTGGTTCAACTAAAATTCAAATTGTACCAAATTTAGTACCATTTAGTACTCATAAGTATTAATTTGTTAAACTGAATCCTGACCCTAATCCTAGAGGATAGATCCTCACTCCAAATTTCATTGTTCCCGCTCTATCGGTTCACCCAAATCCAAATTGTACCAATTATAGTACGATTTTGGACTTTTTGTACACATAAGTAAAATTTTTCCAAAACTATGTACATATCCCAATTCTAAACTCCGATGGAAATTTTAATTTCGAATCTCAGGATTCCAGCTCGATTTGTACCAAATATAGTACCATGTAGTACTTTTCGTACACATGAGTACACACTTTCAAAACCATCTCCTTAAATAGACCCTACATCTCAACACTAATTCACATTCCAAATTTCATGTTTTTAGCTTTATCCATTCACATGCAACGAAATTGTACCAAATTTAGTACATTTTAGTACTTTTCGCCCAAAAACCCTTTGCTATATCTATTCTACACTCCATCATTAAACCTCGCTTAAAATTTAAGAATTCTAGCACTACCGGTTCGCCAAATATGAATGGTTTCACATTTAGTACTTTTCGTACCTTTCTAGTACGAATTTCCAAAAACCCAGCCTTATCTGTCACCTTTGGACCTAGAGTGACCCTCACCCAAAATTTCAAGATTCTAGCTTAAGCCGTTTCGTCTGGGCGTTGATGAATCGTTAAATCTGTCAGTCAGTCAGTCAGTCAGTCAATCACTTTACTCTTTTATTAGTATAGATAAATATTATTTTAACGGGTTTCTGTTGATCGGGTAGCTATAGTAAAATTTTCTCTAGAATATTTTGTCCATTACCATCAAAGCCCAAATAAAAGGTTTTATGGGTGATTTTGTCAAAACTTCATTTTAACCTCAAAAATACCTACCCTCTAAATATAAAAAAATGCCATCGATATTTTTATGTATAAATATTGTTATTACCATTTTCTTTTGTTCGGGAGCCTATAGTGAAATTTTCTCTCGAATATTTTTTTCATTGACATGAAGTCTCTAAAATGGTATTTTGTGGGAGATTTGGTCAAAATTGCAACGTAACCTCAAAAATGCCTGGTCTCTAACTATATAAAATTTCAACGGTATTTATTGTATATAAATATTATATTTACAGGTCTCTGTTGTTCGGGGACCTATAGTAAAATTTTACAAAAAATACTTTTTTCATTAACACCAAGCCTCTAAAATGAGGTTGTATGGGTGATTTTGTCGAAATTGCAACATAACCTCAAAAATGTTTAACCTCTAAATATATGAATTTCCAACGGTATTTTTTATAACCTCAAAAATGTCTGCCTTTGTGTATATAAATCGTTAACGGTAGTTTTGTATATAAATATTATTTTCACAGATTCCTTTTGTTCGGGGACCTGTAGTGAAAATTTCTCTACAGTATTTTTTTCATTGATATCAAATCTCTAAAATGAGGTTTTGTGGGAGATTTGGTCAAAATTACAACATAACCTCAAAAATACCAGCCCTCTAAATATATAAATTTCCAAAAGTATTTTTTATATATAAATATTATTTTTACCGATTTCTTTTGTTCGGAGACCTATAGTGAAATTTCCTCTAGAATATTTTTTCCATTGACACCAAAGTCCTTAAGACAGGTTTTATGAGAGATTTTGTCCAAATTGCAACATAACCTCAAAAATGCCTAGCCTCTAAATAAGTAAATTGCTAACGGTATTTTTTTATAACTACAACTTATTTTTTCAGGTTTCGGTTGTTCGGGGACCTATAGTGAAATTTTCTCAAGAATATTTTTTCCATTGACCTCAAAGCCCTATTGATAGGTTTTGTGAGAGATTTTGTCAAAATAGCAACATAACCTCACAAAATGCCTACCCTCTAAATATATAAATTTCTAACGGCATTTTTTATATATAAATATAACCTTTAGAGGTTTCTGTTGTTCGGGGACCTATAGTGAAATTTTCTCTAGAATATTGTTTCCATTGACATGAAGTCTCTAAAATGAGGTTTTGTGGGAGATTTTGTCAAAATTGCAACATAACCTCAAAAATGCCTGGCATCTAAGTATATAAATTTTTAACGGTAGTTTTTATATATAAATATCAGTTTTCTGGATTTCTGTTGTTCGGGCACCTATACTGAAATTTTCTCTAGAATATTTTTTCCATTGACACCAAAGCTCTAAAGAAAGGGTTTGTGGGAGATTTGGTCAAAATTGCAACATAACCTAAAAAATGCCTGCAACATAACCTCAAAAATGCCTGCCTTTTTATAACCAAGCCTTATTTATGATTATTTTTTAGAATTTATTTTTAAACATGATTAAAAAGTATTTATTTTTATTTATGAATTTAATTTTTATTCTCTCAATCTAATTTTTTTCTCTCTCCCATCTCTCTCTTTTCAGAGCATAATAGCCATAATCTGCCTCATTGACGACTACAATGAGTAAACGCAAGAAACTATAGAGCCAGAAAGACGAAGAGAACAATTATTTACAACAACAACAGAACGAACAATAATTACAACAACAACAATTCTCCAAATTTCATTACTTCACATCCCAAAGAAAAATCCCTTTTCCCTTCCATTTAAAAAGGAAAATGGTCTTCAATTTGCTGTTCATAACCACGGTGATAAAATCCACCTTCGGTGTGGTCACAACAGGCCTGTGGCTAATACCTCTACTCCTGGCCACCATTACCTATTACCGTTATGACCAGGTGGATCCCGAGTCTAGGGTATTCGATCAACCGAATTTATATCCGGAATATGATTTTATTGTTGTGGGTGCGGGGTCGGCAGGAGCTGTGGTCGCCAATCGTTTGAGTGAGGTACGCAAATGGAAGGTGCTGCTGCTCGAAGCTGGTCCTGATGAAAATGAAATATCCGATGTTCCCTCCTTGGCAGCCTACTTGCAGCTGAGTAAACTCGATTGGCAATATAAGACAGAGTCGTCGAATAAATCCTGTTTGGGTATGAATAATAATCGCTGCAATTGGCCAAGGGGTAAGGTACTGGGTGGTTCGAGTGTCCTGAATTATATGTTATATGTAAGGGGTAATCGCCATGACTATGATCACTGGGAGGCTTTGGGCAATGAGGGTTGGGGTTATGATAATGTTTTGCATTATTTTAAGAAATCGGAAGATAATCGTAACCCATATTTAAGTAATAATCCGTATCATGGTAAGGGAGGGTATTTGACGGTGCAGGAGTCTCCTTGGCATACACCCTTGGTGGCGGCATTTGTAGAGGCCGGCACGGAGATTGGTTATGAAAATCGTGATATTAATGGGGAATTGCAGACCGGGTTTATGATGGCCCAGGGTACGATTAGGAGGGGTTCGAGATGCAGTACCGCCAAGGCTTTTTTGAGGCCCATAAAATATCGTAAAAATTTCCATATGTCATTGAATTCTCAGGCCACAAAGGTGTTGATTGATGAGGCCACGATGCGTGTCAAGGGGGTGGAATTTGTTAAAAATGGCAAGGTGCAAAGGGTCTATGCGAAAAGGGAGGTAATACTCTCGGCAGGGGCCATTAATACGCCACAGCTGATGATGTTGTCGGGTATTGGCCCCCGGCAGCATTTGGAGGATTTGGGTATCAAGGTATTGCAGGATTTGCCGGTGGGTGAAAATATGCAGGATCATGTGGGTATGGGCGGGTTGACTTTTTTGGTTGACAAACCCGTTTCCATTGTCCAGGATCGATTTAATCCCACGGGTATTACCATGCAATATGTGTTGAGGGAAAGAGGACCCATGACCACCTTGGGTGGTGTGGAAGGATTGGCTTTTGTCCACACGCCCTATTCTAATCGCTCGCTGGATTGGCCGGATATACAGTTTCACATGGCCCCGGCTAGCATAAATTCGGATAATGGAGCCAGGGTAAAGAAGGTTATGGGTTTGAAGGAGTCTCTCTATCAGGAGGTCTATCAACCCATTGCCAATAAGGATGCATGGAGCATAATTCCGTTGTTACTGAGACCTAGGTCTAGGGGTTGGGTTAGGCTAAGGTCGGCAAATCCCTTTGCCTACCCTTTGATCAATGCCAATTATTTTGATGATCCTTTGGATGTTAAGGTTTTGGTTGAGGGTGCCAAAATCGCGTTGCGAGTGGCTGAGGCTAAGGTCTTCAAACAATTTGGTTCGCGGCTGTGGACTAAGTCCCTGCCGAATTGCAAACAACATAAATTTATGTCGGATGCCTATATTGAGTGTCACATTCGCACCATTTCCATGACCATATATCATCCATGTGGTACAGCAAAAATGGGTCCAGCCTGGGATCAGGAAGCTGTGGTGGATCCTAGGTTAAGGGTATATGGCATAAGGGGTTTGAGGGTCATCGATGCCAGTATTATGCCCACTATAAGTAGTGGAAATACCAATGCACCGGTCATTATGATTGGTGAGAAGGGAGCGGATTTGATCAAAGAGGATTGGTTCCACAATCCGGAATATAAAAAGGTGAATGCCAAGAGATAGAGGGAGGGTGGGAGAAACAAATTTCTTAGATATTTTTTCAAGGGAAAATAAATACCTCCTTCGTTATTTAAAGGCTGTTCATAACCAACCTCAGGCCAAAATCATATTTTTCAGGGGGCTCAAATTTTTGTACCTTACCATGTAGTCGTATTGTGTATGTTGCCATGTGTATAATATAATTAATTATATTATTTTGTTATAAAAAAATTAAAAAAATATATAATTAATAATTTATTATAAGCTGGCTTAGTCATTTGTTTTAATTGTTGTTATAATTTATTTGTATTAAAAAAAAATTAAAAATATTTTTTTTATTATTAATAATTTATTGTGTATAATATATATAATTTAAAAATATATTTACGTCATTGTAATAATTATTATTTTTTCTAGAATATGTCATTAGATTTATTTTCAAACCAAACTGGCTAATTTATTATATTGGAATTCCTAAATTAAAAAAAAAATGAAACGAAACAAAAGCTATTGTAAATTTAGAGTATAGACTATAAATAATTTAATGTATATAATTTAAATAAAAAAATTTAAAAAATAAAATAAATAAAAAATTCAAAATAAAAGAATGTATTTAATATTTATTTCTTTAATATATTTAAGGCTTGGCTTTTTTAAATAATTTTTTTCTGAGGCCTAACCAAGGCGTGGATTTTTTAAATAATTTTTTTCCGAGGCCTAACCAAGACGTGGATTTTTTAAATAATTTTTTTTTGAGGCCTAACCAAGTCGTGCATTTTTTAAATAATTTTTTCTGAGGCCTAACCAAGGCGTGGATTTTTTAAATAATTTTTTTCTGAGGTGTAACCAAGGCGTGGATTTTTTAAATAATTTTTTTCTGAGGCCTAACCAAGGCGTGGATTTTTTAAATAATTTTTTTCCGAGGCCTAACCAAGACGTGGATTTTTTAAATAATTTTTTTCTGAGGCCTAACCAAGGCGTGGATTTTTTAAATAATTTTTTTCTGAGCCCTAACCAAGGCGTGGATTTTTTAAATGATTGTTTTCTGAGGCCTAACCAAGGTGTGGATTTTTTAAATAATTTTTTTCTGAGGCTTAACCAAGGCGTGGATTTCTTTAAGGCGTGGATTTTTAAATAATTTTATTTTTGATGCTACCACAAGGTGTGGATTTTTTAAATAATTTTTTTCTGAGGCCTAACCAAGGCGTGGATTTTTTAAATAATTTTTTTTTGAGGCCTAACCAAGTCGTGCATTTTTTAAATAATTTTTTCTGAGGCCTAACCAAGGCGTGGATTTTTTAAATAATTTTTTTCTGAGGCCTAACCAAGGCGTGGATTTTTTAAATAATTTTTTTCTGAGCCCTAACCAAGGCGTGGATTTTTTAAATGATTGTTTTCTGAGGCCTAACCAAGGTGTGGATTTTTTAAATAATTTTTTTCTGAGGCTTAACCAAGGCGTGGATTTCTTTAAGGCGTGGATTTTTAAATAATTTTATTTTTGATGCTACCACAAGGTGTGGATTTTTTAAATAATTTTTTTCTGAGGCCTAACCAAGGCGTGGATTTCTGAAATAATTTTTTTCTGAGGCCTCACCAAGGCTTGGATTTTTTAAATAATTTTTTTCTGAGGCCTAACCAAGGCGTGGATTTTTTAAATAATTTTTTTCCGAGGCCTAACCAAGGTGTGGATTTTTTAAATAATTTTTTTTCTGAGGCCTAACCAAGGCGTGGATTTTTTAAATAATTTTTTTTCTGAGGCCTAACCAAGGCGTGGATTTTTTAAATAATTTTTTTCTGAGGCCTAACCAAGGTGTGGATTTTTTAAATGATTTTTTTCTGAGGCCTAACCAAGGCGTGGATTTTTTAAATAATTTTTTTTTCTGAGGCCTAACCAAGGCGTGGATTTTTTAAATAATTTTTTTTTCTGAGGCCTCACCAAGGCGTGGATTTTTTAAATAATTTTTTTCTGAGGCCTAACAAAAACGTGGATTTTTTAAATAATTTTTTTCTGAGGCCTAACCAAGGCGTGGATTTTTTAAATAATTTGTTTCTGAGGCCTAACCAAGGCGTGGATTTTTTTAATAATTTGTTTCTGAAATATTTAAAAAATACAAGCGTTTTTTTAAATTATTATTTTTAAAATCACTTAGAAAAAAAATTATTTAAAAAATCCAAGCAGAAAAAAATATTTAAACCAGTAAGGAAAGCAGTAAAGACGGACTGGGCCGACTATATGATACCCTTCACCACTATGGGTATATTGCACATATATATCCTTACAATTGTATGTCAATGTTCCCTCGAAGGAACATACTCATGTCTTTCTGCAACCTATGATAAATTTCATTTCATTCGGGAAGATTTAGAGTCGTATACGTACCATTGGACAAATTTATGAAAAAAATTGCTAGACCTCATTCATTACACTTGTGCCAAATTTCGTGCAAATCGAAAGATATTTACAGACTTTGGTGCATCATATACCTCAAATCGGACGAAAATATATATGGGAGCTATACCTAAATCTGAACCGATTTTCACGAAACTTGACACACGTCATTTTAGACCTAAGTCATTACGCTGTGCCAAATTTTGTGCAAATCGAATGATATATAGGGACTTTGGTACACCATTTACTTTATATCGGACGAAAATATATATGGGAGCTATATCTAAATCTGAACCGATTTATCCCAATTTCAATAGGGTTCGTTCATGGGCCAAATGAATGAGCTGTGCCAAATTTCATCCAATTCGAATAATAATTGCGACCTGTACTTTGTGAAGTGTGATGAAGGGTATAGAAATCCACGCCTTGTGGTAGCCTCAGAACATATCCTTATTACAGCTTTCCTGTTCCAAAAATAGTCCGCTAAAATCTACCAGTCATTGACCCGTTCTCCGGATTTTATTACTTAATTAATTTATATTGACATTAAATTTTTTATTATATAACAAAAGTGGCAATTAAAAATATTTTTCATTTTTTTTTTTTTTTTCTTTTTTGTAAGAAATACGCACTGGCAAACGTTAGGGTGGATCAATACAAAAAATATTCTTCATGTAAAAAAATCGAAAATCTACACGTCTATATTTTTATTTTCTACAGAAAAAAATTCGACAGACCCTCATTCTATAGACAAAAATTCCTCAGACCCTTAGGTCTGTATTTTTTCTATAAAAAAAATCCTCAGTCCCTCAAGTCGGATTTTTTTAATTCTTATTCCCATAATAGGGACTTTGGGACATAATTTTCTTAACAAGAATTTCGAATTTCTGATATTTTTTATTAAAATTTTTTATTAAACTTTTTCACAATTTTCCACAATCTTGTTTAATCATGTCCGCTGCCTTTTCGGCAATCATAAAAACCGGTCCATTGGGATGTCCGGCAATAATGTTCGGCATAATGCTGGCATCTACCACCCTGAGACCTTGTATACCATAAACCTTGAGTCGAGGATCAACTACTGCCTCCCGATCCCATGCGGGACCCATTTTTGCCGTTCCCGATTGATGATAAATTGTAAAGCTCAAATGGCGTACATAACACTCCAAATATTCCGGAGAGGTAATGTTCTGATAATTCTGGCAGCCTGGTATTTTTTGTTGTAAAAATTGCGCCTTCAGATTTTTCATTGTAGGTGTCTGCATTAAATTCAGAGCTCTTTCTATGCCACGTAGAAGGATTTTGATGTCTCTTGGATCCTTGAGAAAATTCGGATAGATGAGGGGTGGCTTTTTTGGATCTCGGCTGGCCAAGAGAATTCTTCCCTTACTATGGGGCCGAAGCAGCTTCACAAATATCATAAAAACATTGCTTTTGTCTCTGATGGCCTTGCCATATAAGGCCTGTAGGACATCGGTACGAATACCCAAACTTTGTGAAATCCTTGGATTGGCATACAAGGCACCACTGCTGAGAAACCATTCAATATCTGGCCAACCATGGGGATTTTGCGGATGTTCTAGATCATAAAATGCCAAGGCCTCTACCCCACCAGGGAGGTTCAGGGGACTTAGGCCAGTTTCGAAATTTGTTGATAAACTTAAATTGAGGAAATCTGAAAGTCTGAGGGTTTTTAGTTGACTAACAAAATTCAAACCCGCAGCCAGGTGGTCCTGTAAATTATAACCCACTGGCAGATCCATTAGAGGTCTTATACCCATTTCCTGTAAATGCGACTTGGGCCCCACCCCAGATAACATCAGCAGTTGAGGGGTATTTATGGCCCCTGCGGAGGATATGACCTCCTTGCGCGCTCTGATTTCAAATGTCTGGCCTTGACTTTCAAATCTTACCCCATATGCCGTTTTTGTTTCAGGATCTATAAGAATCTTGGTGACATGACTATATTTCTTTATATGTAAATTCCGACGTTTCCCCTTTAGCGGATAAAGATAGGCCCGGTTGGAACTCCAACGATAACGTTGATCGGTGGTGGTCTGCAAGAAGGACACCCCAATCTGCTGCCGGCCATTATAGTCCACATAGGGCAAACCATCCTCCCAGGTAGCCTTGACAAAAGCCTTGGCCACTGGAGAACGATATTTAATATAGGAAATTTTCACTGGACCACCATGGCCCCTATACTCCTCGTCCTCATCCGGGATCATAGAATTTTCCAATTTCTTAAAATATGGCAACACTTCGCGATAACTCCATCCCTGGTTTCCCATCCGTGACCACTGATCGTAATCCCAACGACTACCTCGGGTGTAAATCATATAATTTAATACCGATGATCCGCCCATAACCTTGCCACGAGTAAAATGACATCTCCTCCCCGCCATGGCCAGGCAGTACTCCTGCGAAGGTTGTGTGAGATAATTCCAATCGACATAAGGATTACCCTGCCATAAATGGGCCTTGAGAGGTATATCCATGGGTAGGAGTTCTGGGCCACCAGCTTCCAGTAGTAATACCGACCATTTGGGAATTTCCGATAATCGTGCCGCCAAGGCACAGCCTGCTGTCCCCGCACCCACCACAATGAAATCGTATTCCGGTAGGAGCTGTACTTTGTTATCCAGATTTTCTAAATTTAATCTCTCCTGGCCATCCTTGAGGAAGTTGTAGAGAAATGTCAACAGATTGGAGGATTGATGTTGGGACTTTAAAGGGTGACTTTGGAGAAGCAGTAAGTAAACCGAAAATCGAAGCAGCTGGACGTTCGACAACATTAGGCTGATAATTTCGAAGGTGAACTGAATGATTATTTTTAAAATGTCTTTAAGTAATGATATTTTTGAGTATTAAAGGTAATGACTTTGACCCATTTGACCCCAAAATGACAACACATTAGGGAGGTTAACAACAAAAGTAAAAATGTTTGGAACTATGGTGGCTTCAGAAAAAAATTATTTAAAAAATCCACGCCTATGGTGGCTTCAGAAAAAATTTTTTTACAAAATCCACGCCTATGGTGGCTTCAGAAAAAAATTATTTAAAAAATCCACGCCTATGGTGGCTTCAGAAAAAAATTATTTAAAAAAATCCACGCCTATGGTAGCTTCAGAAAAAAATTATTTAAAAAATCCACGCCTATGGTGGCTTCAGAAAAAAATTATTTAAAAAATCCACGCCTATGGTGGCTTCAGAAAAAAATTATTTAAAAAATCCACGCCTATGGTAGCTTCAGAAAAAAATTATTTAAAAAAATCCACGCCTATAAGAGGTCCTTAAATGTATTTAAAAAAAAAAAATCCACGCCTATGGTGGCTTCAGAAAAAAATTATTTAAAAAATCCACGCCTATGGTGGCTTCAGAAAAAAATTATTTAAAAAAATCCACGTCTATGGTAGCTTCAGAAAAAAATTATTTAAAAAAATCCACGCCTATGGTAGCTTCAGAAAAAAATTATTTAAAAAATCCACGCCTATGGTGGCTTCAGAAAAAAATTATTTAAAAAATCCACGCCTATGGTGGCTTCAGAAAAAAATTATTTAAAAAAATCCACGTCTATGGTGGCTTCAGAAAAAAATTATTTAAAAAAATCCACGCCTATGGTAGCTTCAGAAAAAAATTATTTAAAAAATCCACGCCTATGGTGGCTTCAGAAAAAAATTATTTAAAAAATCCACGCCTATGGTGGCTTCAGAAAAAAATTATTTAAAAAATCCACGCCTATGGTGGCTTCAGAAAAAAATTATTTAAAAAAATCCACGTCTATGGTAGCTTCAGAAAAAAATTATTTAAAAAAATCCACGCCTATGGTGGCTTCAGAAAAAATTTTTTTACGAAATCCACGCCTATGGTAGCTTCAGAAAAAAATTATTTAAAAAAATCCACGCCTATGGTAGCTTCAGAAAAAAATTATTTAAAAAATCCACGCCTATGGTGGCTTCAGAAAAAAATTATTTAAAAAAATCCACGTCTATGGTAGCTTCAGAAAAAAATTATTTAAAAAAATCCACGTCTATGGTAGCTTCAGAAAAAAATTATTTAAAAAATCCACGCCTATGGTGGCTTCAAAAAAAAATTATTTAAAAAATCCACGCCTATGGTGGCTTCAGAAAAAAATTATTTAAAAAATCCACGCCTATGGTGGCTTCAGAAAAAATTTATTTAAAAAATCCACGCCTATGGTAGCTTCAGAAAAACATTATTTAAAAAAATCCACGCCTATGGTGGCTTCAGAAAAAAATTATTTAAAAAAATCCACGCCTATGGTAGCTTCAGAAAAAAATTATTTAAAAAAATCCACGCCTATGGTGGCTTCAGAAAAAAATTATTTAAACAATCCACGCCTATGGTGGCTTCAGAAAAAAATTATTTAAAAAAATCCACGCCTATGGTGGCTTCAGAAAAAAATTATTTAAAAAATCCACGCCTATGGTGGCTTCAGAAAAAAATTATTTAAAAAAATCCACGCCTATGGTGGCTTCAGAAAAAAATTATTTAAAAAATCCACGCCTATGGTGGCTTCAGAAAAAAATTATTTAAAAAAATCCACGCCTATGGTGGCTTCAGAAAAAAATTATTTAAAAAATCCACGCCTATGGTGGCTTCAGAAAAAAATTATTTAAAAAAATCCACGCCTATGGTGGCTTCAGAAAAAAATTATTTAAAAAAATCCACGCCTATGGTGGCTTCAGAAAAAAATTATTTAAAAAATCCACGCCTATGGTGGCTTCAGAAAAAAATTATTTAAAAAATCCACGCCTACGGTAGCTTCGAAAAAATATATTTTAAAAAATCCACGCCTACGGTAGCTTCGAAAAAATATATTTTAAAAAATCCACGCCCATGGTGGCTTTCAAAAAATATTTTTTTTAATCCAAGCCTGCGGATTTTGAATTTATAGAATATTTGTTTATAATCGTAGTGGAATTTTTTCTGTCATCTCGGAACTTCTTTTGTTCTGCTAAAAAAAATCAAAATTTGATTCTAGTTTCAAGTTCGCCAGGCCTTATACCGGTCACTAGTATTTTTGTTGTTGGCATACATAATTAGGCCAGTAGTCTTTTGGCTTGTTTCTTGACCTTTTGTTCTGTGTGTGTGTTGGCCTATTATGCCGAAGATGTTCTTCGGAGGCATGAATAAATTAATAGATTTATTCGATTATTAAAAAAAATAGGAACAACAATAAAAACATATTTTTTTCTTGTCGAAGATAATATTTCTGGTCTATGGAATCGGGTTTGTGGAATGAGGAAATAAGTACGCCTTTACATGATGGCCAAGAATTTACCAGGTTAGCTAATTTTTATCCACAGAATCAGTATCATTTCGAACTTAGAAGTAGCTACAAAATGCGAAAATCGCAACGGAGTTTGGTGTTAATTTTTTCGATTGGAATTTTATTAGTGTGCAGTGAATCATGTGGCGCCCAACGTTTGACCACCAATGTTTTGAAATATTTCATTGAAGTTCTGCAGCATGGAGCCGAAGATGCCACTACCAATGAGTATCGTGACAATGACATACAGCTATTGGATGAATATGATTTTATTATTGCTGGGGCGGGTACGGGTGGCTGTACCCTGGCCTCAAGGCTGTCGGAGATAGGTTCATGGAAAATTCTTCTCTTGGAGGCTGGTGGTCCCGAATATTTACCCTTGGATTTACCTATTGCGGCAAATATTCTTCAACTAAGTCCCGATATTAACTGGGCCTATCGTACAGAGCCCTCAAATGCCTATTGTCTGGGTTTGAAAGATAATCGCTGCAACTTCCCCAGGGGTAAAATAATGGGTGGCAGTTCGGTGCTAAATTACATGATGTACACTCGTGGTAATCGTCGGGATTATGATACCTGGGCGGCAATGGGTAATGCAGGCTGGAGCTATCAGGATGTCCTGCCATATTTTAAAAAATTGGAAGGCTCCATTATACCCGATGCTGAAGAGGAGTATGTGGGTCGCAATGGTCCCGTCATGGTGTCCTATGCCAAATGGCATACCCAACTGAGTGAGGCGTTTGTGGCAGCGGTGCAGGAGAATGGTTACGATTATTTGGATTATAATGGCCGGCGCCAGGTGGGTGTACAATATGCCCAGACCACAACGGATCAAACACATCGTTGGAGTGCCAATCGGGCCTATCTCTATCCCATTAAAGATAAGCGGCCCAATTTGCATATCAAAAAATATGCCCATGTTCGGAAGTTCCTGATTGATCCGGAGACGAAAAGGGCCTATGGTGTGGAGTTTGAGTCTCGAGGCAAGATTTACAAAGTGAGGGCCCGCAAAGAGGTCATATCCTCCGCTGGAGCAATAAATACCCCTCAACTGCTGATGTTATCCGGTGTGGGTCCAGCCAAACATTTACGCCAGGTGGGCATAAAACCCATTGTCGATTTAGCAGTAGGCTATAATTTGCAGGACCATATTGCCCCACCCGTCAATGTGGTGGCCAATGTTAGTAGCATCAAATTACCTGACCTATTTGACTCCGATAATTTCCTGGCTCTACAGACCATGAACAGCTCTTTGTCGGTGGCGGGAGGCCTCGAAGTCATTGCCTTTTATGATCTTGATCATCCCAACGATCCAGATGGCTGGCCAGACATAGAATTTATTGTGGCCGATTCTTCATATCATGAAAATCCCTTTTTGGCCCGGGCAGCTGGTATCAGACAGGATATCTTTGATGATCTCTACACCGAAGCCATTGAACAGGATCTCAATGTCTTTGCCATTGTCTCCATGCAAATGCAGCCACGTAGCAAGGGGCGCATTCTACTGCGCAGCAAGGACCCCAAGGTATATCCTCTCATCTATGCCAATTATCTACACGACCCCTATGACCTGGATATTGTGGTGCGAGGTATTGAAAAAATCATTGAACTTCTCGATGAACCCTCAATGCGTAAGGTGAATGCTACGCTACTGAATAGTAGCATAAAACCATGTCGGAAATATGGTCACATACGCTCCAGGCCCTATTTGGAATGTTATGTCAGATATTTGACCACCACCATTTATCATCAATCGGGTACGGCGAAAATGGGACCAAGTTCCGATAGAGAAGCGGTGGTGGATAATCGCTTGCGGGTCCATGGTATACCAAATTTACGAGTGGTAGATGCCAGTATTATGCCGAAGCTGATTGCGGGACATCCAAATGGACCGGTTTATATGATTGCCGAAAAGGCAGCTGATATGATCAAGCAGGATTATGGTGTGCTGTGAACCGGAACCCACCATCCCGCAGAGGTTATATGAAGTATTATTTTATTTGTTAATTAGTTTGTAATAAGCATTTTTATTGTTGTTTATTTTTAAAAAAATTAAAATAATATTTTTTAAGAACAAAAAATTAGAAATAAAAAAAAATAATTATTATAAGAAAATAAATTTTTTTGCCGGAAAAAGTCTTTTTACTGAAATATCTTGAAGCGTGTTCGAAACCATAGGCTTGGATTTTTCAAAAAAAAAAAAAAATATATTTTTTGAAAGCCACAATTGGCCTGGATTTTTTTTTAAAAAATATTCTATTTTTTGAAAGCCACAATTGGGCGTGGATTAAAAAAAAATAATTTTAATTTAAAAAAAATATTTTTGGAACTAATACCTTAACTGATTCAAAGACGAAGGAGAACTATGGGAATATTTTTTTTCTTTCAATAAAAATATATTATTGACACCTACAAAATAATTTACGATCATATTTTTTAATAAAAACAAACATGTTTTTTTATACCTTCAACATCGCGTTCTTACCCCTCCCCTTCATTTCATTCATGTAACCATTTGAACCGGTTTTTTACAATAGTTTGAATTTATGTAATGTTGTGATGGAGCGTAGTGGGTCAAAAGAAGATTATGCTATGACCTTGTTGTTGTTACAACTTCCTATTTCTATGATGATTCAGTTCATTGAACTGCCTCGCTCGATGTGTGTTAGTGTGTGAGATTATAGAGATCTAAATTACATTTTGACACAATAAAACGCCGAACTTCCGATTTGTTTACACCAACCATAATTTATTGTAACAACTTTTACAAGAACTTGTTGGTGTTGTTTTTGTTGTTGTCACACTTAACCATTGAGATGATTCATTTGCTGCTCCATCAATGGCTGATGAATGGCTGGCTACTTTGATGCTTTGACGTTTGTGTCTTAAGTCTTTTGTTTGTGTGTATGAGTGTCTGTGGTATACAAAAGTTGTTGTAATGGTTTTACAAAGAAATAAGATAATGAAAGAGCTACGATAAGTATCGATATAAGTTTTTTGATAATTTTTCTGCATAGGAAAATTATCGATAAATATTTTTCTGTATTGGAAAATTATCGACAATAATTATTCGGTATGGAACAATTATCGATTATAAATGTTCAGTATAAAAAAATAATTTAAAAAAAATAGACAAATTATCGATCCACAGATTATCCACACAGAAAAATTATACATATTTTTTGCATAGAAAAATTATCGATATTAATTTTTTGCAAAGATAAAGTATCGATAATTTTTTGCATAGAAAAATTATCGACAACATTTTTTTTTTTTTTTTTTTGGATAGAAAAATTATCGATAATATTTTTTTCGTATAGAAAAAAATTGATAATAATTTTTCCGTATAGAAAAATTATCTATAATTTTTTGGAAAAATTATTATATTTTTATCGATATTAATTTTTCTGCAAAGATAAATTATCGATAAAAAACTGTTCTGTATAGAAAAATTATCGATAAATATTTTTCGGTACCAAAAAAAAAAAAAATTATCGATAATAATTTTTATGTATACAAAAATTTTCTATAATAATTTTTCGATACAAAAAAAAATATCGATAATTTTTTTCTGTTTTTCCGAAAAGTTATCGATAATAATGTTTGGTATCAAAATAATATGGATAATTTTTCCATATAGAAAAATTATCGATAATAATTTTTCAATGCAAAAAAATTATCGATAAAAATTTTTTCGTATAGAAAACTGATCGATAATCATTTTTCCGTATAAAAAAGTATCGATAATAATTTTTCCGTATAAAAAAAGTATCGATAATAATTTTTCCGTATAGAAAAATTATCGATAATAATTTTTCAATATAGAAAAATTATCGATAATAATTTTTCAATGCAAATAAATTTTCGATAATAAATATCCCATATAGAAAAATTATCGATAATAATTTTTCAATGCAAATAAATTTTCGATAATAAATATCCCATATAGAAAAATTATCGATAATAATTTTTCAATGCAAAAAATTATCGATAATAATTTTTCAATGCAAAAAATTATCGATAATAATTTTTCAATGCAAAGAATTATCGATAATAATTTTTATGTATACAACAATTATCTATCGATACAAAAACAAATATCGATAATTGTTTTTCTGTTTTTCCGAAAAGTTATAGATAATAATTTTTGGTATCGAAATAATATGGATAATAATTTTTCCATATAGAAAAATTATTGATAATAATTTTTTTTTTTTGCAAAGATATATTATCGATAATAATTTTTGTGCATAGTAAAATTATCGACCCAATTTGTTTGGATAGAAAAATGATCGATAATAATTTTTTTGTTTGGATAGAAAAATGATCGATAAAAATATTTTGGCATAGAAAAATTATCGATAAAAATATTTTGGCATAGAAAAATTATCGATAATAAGTTTTCCATGTAGAAAAATTATCGATATTAATTTCATATTATCGATAACAGTTTTTGGGTATCAAAAATTATTGATAATAAATGTTTCGTAGAGAAAAATTATCGATAATAATTTTTCCATATAATAATTATTTTTCCATATAATTATCGATAAAAAGTTTTCCGTATAGAAAAATTATCGATATAAATTTTTTGTGCAAATATAAATTATCGACAATTTTTTTTTTGGCATTGAAAACTGTCGATAATAATATTTTTGCATAGAAAAATTATCGATAATAACATTTTTGAATGGAAAAATTATCGATAATAATTTTTCTGTAAAGAAAAAGTATCGATCATAATGTTTCTGTAAAGAAAAAGTATCGATAATAATTTTTCTGTAAAGAAAAAGTATCGATCATAATGTTTCTGTAAAGAAAAAGTATCGATAATAATTTCTCTGTAAAGAAAAAGTATCGATAATAATTTTTCTGTAAAGAAAAAGTATTGATAATAACTTTTCCAGAAAGAAAAATCATCGATATTAATTTCAAATTATCGGTTTTACCGGATAGAAAAATATCGATTATAATTTTTTATCGATATAATATTTTTTTTGGTATAGAAAAATTATCGATAATACTTTTTGGGTACAAAAAATTATCGATAATTATGTTTACTTATTGAAAACTTATCGATAATAGATTTTTCGTAAATAAAAATTATCGATAATAATTTTTCTTTAAAGAAAAATTACCGATATTAATTTTTGCTTAAAAGAACATTGTCGATAATAAAGTTTGTGTTGCAAATATAATTTTTCTGCATTGAAAAATTATCGATAATTTAAAAAAAAAATAAATAAAATATTTTATATCCAAAACATATGAATAATAATTTTCTGTATAAAAAAAAATATCGACAATATTTTTCCGTAAAGGTAAATTTATACAAAAAACAAAATAAAACTATCGATAATAATTTTTCAGTATGAAAAAAAATTATCGATAATAATTTTTCTGCATATAAAACTGATCGATAAAACTTTTTCCGTTTATATTTTTTAGAATCGAAAAATTGTCGATAGTTATTTTTCTGCATGGGAAAATTATCTGAATCGATAAAATTGTTATCGATAATTTTTTGTTATCGAAAATTAAAAAAATCGATTTCGTTTCTTTTTTCGCTTTATTTCACAATTTCCAAATAAATATTAATTTAAAAACAAATAATAATTTTAAAAATAGCTTTTTCTTCCTCCCCAAAAGCTTTTAAAGCTTTCCATAATCCTCCTTGATCATATCCGCTGCCTTTTCTGCTATCATAAATATCGGACCATTTGGATGTCCAGCCACCAATTTGGGCATAATGCTGGCATCTACCACTCGCAACTTCTTAATGCCATGGACCCTTAAACGTGGATCCACCACAGCTTCTGGATCGGAATGTGGTCCCATTTTCGCCGTACCCGATTGATGATAAATGGTAAAGGTCAACTGGCGTATATAGCACTGCAAATAATCTCTCGAAGTAATATCCGGATATTGTTTGCAACTGGGCAAGTGGGCCTCCAAGAGGGTGGCATTTATTTTCCTCATTGCAGGTTCGTCCAATAAATGTATGATTTTCTGCAGCCCCTTTACCAAAACATCCATATCATAGGGATCTTGGAGGTAGTTGGGATAAATCAAAGGATGCTGAGCGGGATCCTTACTTCTTAGAATAATTCTCCCCTTACTACGAGCCTGTAGCAGCATGGCAAAGATGAGGAACACACTTTTATCCTTTTCCACCACCTCATCGTATAGGGCATGCAGCACGTCCGAACGTATCCCAATGGCCGAGGCTAGAAAAACATTTTCATGAAAAGCCCCTGGGGTGGTAAATAACTCCAGCTCTGGCCAACCATCGGGATCTTGAGGATTTTGCAGATCATAAAAGGCAATGGCTTCCACAGCCCCGGGTAGGGACAGCATACTATTCCGGGTATCCATTTTCACAATTTCATCGATGTCAAAGAAGTCCCCCACGGTGAGAGTCGTTTCATTGGTCACAATATTCAGCGCCGGGGCTATGTGATCTTGGAGATTATAACCCACAGCCAAATTTGCCACAGGTTCAATGCCCACTTCTTTTAAATGTTTTGCAGGGCCCACTCCCGATAACATCAGTAGTTGTGGGGTATTTATGGCTCCCGCCGATAATATCACCTCCATGCGGGCCCTTACCTCAAACGATTGGCCATTCGATTCGAAGAGCACCCCATAAGCCTTCTTGGTCTTTGGATCAATCAGCACCTTTGTGACCATGGCAAATTTTTTGATATGTAAATTAGGACGCTTCCCCTTAATCGGATACAAATATGCCCGATTCGCACTCCAACGTATCGACTGATCCGTGGTGGTCTGTATGTAGGAAACTCCAACCTGCCGCCGGCCATTGTAGTCCACATAATCGCTACCATTTTGCATGGCAGCCAAAACGAAAGCCTTACTAACCTCCGAACGCCACTGGGCATAGGACACCTTGACGGGACCATTACGGCCCACATATTCCTCATCGGCGTTGGGTAC